CACCGGTTGCCTTTGTCGAATCTCAAACGCTGGCACATGACTGGAAACGTTGGAAGCCATATCGAACGCTTCTGCTTCTGTCCCTTGAAAGGACGAACAATCATCGAAATTGATTGATTGACATTTATTTCAATAACTGATTTGATGGTTATGGGCTGAGAAAGCGTAATTGTAGTTAAGGCCTTTATTCCTACTGGCGACATTTCAATCCAACAACGTTTGCCATACACAGGGCAGACAGTGATCCTACCCACCGATTGCTGATGCAAGCGCAAGCCATCAAAATTTCTCATTCTTCTACAGCAAGACAGAAAAATTGAAGGTCTGACTTAGATTAAACAGATCAAAATCTTACTGCTTGCCCTGAGAATCACCCGTGTTGCTTAATCCTAATGTTTGCAGTAGGAATAAAACCTACTGCATTAGTCATGTGATAACCATCGAATCGGTAATACTTATATCTAACAGTGCGTTCTGAGCGGATTAATATAGGCCGTGAGCCGAAAACCATGAATCTCAGTTTGTAGTAAGAGTATATTTGTTCAAGACAGAATTGCCTTAAATTCAGTATGATATCTTTTAGCCCCGGTTGCCTAGATTTATGAAAGGCCGTTGTTGGTAGTGGAGTGGTTCAGAGAAATATGCTCCATCTTACTGTGAAATGTCATGCGATAGATGACCGTTGTCCATTTTCTGTGAGGGGGACGACAAGATAATGTAATGAAACACAGAGCAAGTGTGTTTTGATATTTATCCAAACTCTGAATCGAAGGTGATGGCGTACCGTCAATAAACGCGTGTATTATTGGCTTCAGCTAGGGAGAAAACTATGCTTCCTGTCCATATCACCAGTTGCCTAAATTAATTCTAGGCATAGAAGGGGTAATTATATAAAGAACAGTGATATTGTAATCACTGCTTAAGTTAACCGAGTATAAATGACAACAAGGAAAAGCAAAATGAAATATTTCATACCCTGTTTTGACATAAGAACTATGGTCTACTAATTCTCCTTGACCGAATATATATATACTCATTTATACTCGGTTAACTTAAACAGTGATTACAATATCACTGTTCTTTATATAATTACCTCTTCTATTCCTAGAATTAATTTAGGCAACTGGTGATATGGACAGGAAGCATAGTTTTCTCCCTAGCTGAAGCCAATAATACACGCGTTTATTGACAATACGCCATCACTTTCGATTCAGAGTTTGGATAAATATCAAGCCACACTTGCTATAGGGGCGTGGTGCGTAAGAAGTCGGCTTCGAACTCGAACTCCGGAACTGCCAAGATCGATTTTTGAATTTCTTGAGTCAGTATTTCGGAAAATAAACAAAATGGATGATTTTTAATTAACCGCAGGCACGTCACTCTTTTTCGATTTAATGATGATTTCATGCTGTTGAAACTAAAGGTAGAATAAGTTCAAGTCATTCAAGCCATTCCATAAACGAGCTGGAGTTAATCTGCAATCAACTAGGTAAACGAATAAAAAACGCGAAGACGAGAATGATTATGAAGAACGAATTCGCTCAACTAGCCACAGTGACCACCAGTGACTGCTAAATAGCAGATGTTCGCCAAGTATGTCCTCTTGGTGCAGTTAATAGTGTCGGAACACTCTTTTGATCTAAAGCTCGCTATAGAATATCGTGGGTGTTCAGTTCGTACATAAAAACGCTGGCATTCTTGAAAACTGAAAATTATCAGATGTGGTTAGAGCGACATTGTATTAAAGGACTGTATTGCCTATAGCTCTGTATGATTATGAGATCTGGACAATAAAAAATAGTGAAGAACCGTTGAGGGTGCAGCTTCGGACTTTGGAAAAAATGTGGTTAGGAATTTGTATCAGGGACACCCTGTGGAATGAAGAGGAAACGGGAATAGGAGACATACGGGGATGTGAAATAGGACATCGTAGCATTTTTACAATAAGAAAAACGACAACGGACAAGCCGCATCGCACGACTGACGGTGACAGATTAATTTCAGCAGTGAAGAACAGGTATCCAAGAAGCTACATGCACCCTGAAGGAAAACCTTGGCTCAGGTTGGATGATGAGCTAAGAGAGAATGGAAATTTGTGGTAAAAAAATCATGGGATATGACCGAACGTTTGCACACAGATTAGGCAATATTTCGATGTAACACATGGCTAGCTTGGTCTGAGCAGTTTCGAGAAAATTAAAATGGGTATGAGTATTGATTTTCAGAGTATTCATTTGTGCTGAAATGTGTCTTTGAATGTGTCATTGAGAAACTGGAAATTTCGACCACGATTAAAATTCTTATCCTAGATATTTAATAAATGTCTTCCTCGTATTCTTTTTCTGCATCATTAGATTTCGCACATTTCATCTAACCAGCATCGTCGAAAAAGTTTCATGACTTTGAAGCCGTTGAAGCTTATGCTTAACAGATAGCATAGTTTATGTGTCAAAGAGACTATCTGATAAGGCCCAGATGTTGTAAAGCAACTGATATGTTATGGCCGTTTGGGACTAAGATAAAAAAAATCAATTACAGCGAACCCACTTTACAAAATCTGTCGTTGGATGACACTTACTGCTGAACACGGCTGACGGATCACTTTTGTGTGCGTACAGATAACCCTACGGAGTTAAGGAACGGACTCATCAGGGAGACCCACTGGAGCTGCTGATTCTGCAACCCACAGTTGAACTATGATAGCTGCATGGACGACCGGACGAAGAACCAGAGGCATGGTCGGGTGGGTGAATGGATTGATGTATGAATGAATATAATTCTACCAGACATAATACCTCCATAGTCTCTTTTCGATGCAGCAGTGAGTCTCATCAGTGTTTAGGTTATGTTTGGCTTTCCGGAGACATTTGGCTGCTGAAATTCAGTTACTTACTACGTCTTCGTTTTTTTTCGTTTCTAATAATTGAATTTTACACTCGATTCTATGTTTGATCAGTAATCAATAATTCAGATGATCCATCATTTTCTCACATTTCCTGCCTCCGTTCATCGCTATCACTGTGCTTAGAGAACGCCGTATAATTTTCCCACTTAGCAAGGTGACTGATTAACTATCAGAGGATTCTCAGTCAAGAACAACCGTTGGCCACAGCCAAAAGTAGCTGGAGTTTACGTAATAACCTGAGACTATCTGCACTTGCTACAACAAACTTCTTCTTTTCTTTTAGTAGGAAAGGAACAACAAACAGCTCTGATGAGGCTTTTATCAGTCGTTGACTTGGCACATGATGATTCCTACGTTTTCCAAAAACGTTTTTTTGCATGGGACTTGTGAGCGTACCTGACACTTTTTATAACTTGCTGGCGCTGGTCACGATTGGTAGGAAATAAGAATTTCGTTGTCTCTTCAAGTTAAGGGTGAACCATCTCACTGACAAAACATCGGACTAAAATTCAGAATTTGGTCTAGCAGCGAAATGCCGTTTCACAGGGAAAAACTAACTCCCAGTTCTTATAATTGTCTCTTTAACAATGAGCCATATACCACTGACAATCGAGAAATAATGAAGCGGAACTTGAGAACGCTCGTAAATCTTTTAAATTTAAGCCTGCTTCGTAAAGGCTACCTTGCAGAGAAACTTCATTCCCAAAATAGCAGTTTCAAAAAAAATTCTAATGTAATAAATCAGTATTATTCGTTATTCAGAAATTGGCAGGATATGATTAAGTATATGCAGGTGGCTAGAGTATACGCTAATTCTATTGGACTGGTTACTTCTGCCTTTCACTGAAGTGCCAAAATAATAAAAAAAATCGTCAGCTTTAAAAATCAAGCAACAGTCATTACTTAAATACGATACAGTGAAAGTATTGGTCTGTTTACTGCGTAAACATTAACATCTTTGCTTATTCTTTTAATGTTAAATACAAATCATGGTTCTTCTCGTCCTCCTGTAGAAATTCATTTGTCTGAGACAAGTTTGTCTAAATTTATGAGAAGATCGTTTGTACCTTGGCAGATAGTGCAAAGCTAACCTACCACTCCGAGTTAATGAGACATTTTCTACCGTGATACAGGATCAAGACAGACAGTACCCATTGTCCTGTTTTGTTCTGACGTTATTTACCGTCCTAGGTGATCTGACATACGTTTACGACGAGTCTAACCTTGACTTCTAGGAGATCTGCTAATTACTGTTCGATAGTAACTCTTCATCTTCGTCAGCACTTTATGATTCACTGCTAGACGAAGTCTTCTACAAGATTTGACCGTAGGCT